TATATATACAGTGGGTAAAAAAAGTATTTAGTCAGCCACCAATTGTGCAAGTTCTCCCACTTAAAAAGATGAGAGAGGCCTGTAATTTTCATCATAGGTATACCTCAACTATGAGAGACAAAATGAGAAAAAAAATTCCAGAAAATCACATTGTAGGATTTTTTAAGAATTTATTTGCAAATTATGGTGGAAAATAAGTATTTGGTCAATAACACAATTTCATCTCAATACTTTGTTATATACACCTTTTGTTGGCAATGACAGAGGTCAAACTTTTTCTGTAAGTCTTCACAAGGTTTTCACACACTGTTGCTGGTATTTTGGCCCATTCCTCCATGCAGATCTCCTCTAGAGCAGTAATGTTTTGGGGCTGTCGCTGGGCAACATGGATTTTCAACTCCCTCCAAAGATTTTCTATGGGGTTGAGATCTGGAGACTGGCTAGGCCACTCCAGGGCCTTGAAATGCTTCTTACGAAGCCACTCCTTTGTTGCCCGGGCGGTGTGTTTGGGATCATTGTCATGCTGAAAGACCCAGCCACGTTTCATCTTCAATGCCCTTGCTGATGGAAGGAGGTTTTCACTCAAAATCTCACGATACATGGCCCCATTCATTCTTTTGTTTACACGGATCAGTCGTCCTGGTCCCTTTGCAGAAAAACAGCCCCAAAGCATGATGTTTCCACCCCCATGCTTCACAGTAGGTATGGTGTTCTTTGGATGCAACTCAGCATTCTTTCTCCTCAAGTTGAGTTTTTACCAAAAAGTTCTATTTTGGTTTCATCTGACCATATGACATTCTCCCAATCCTCTTCTGGATCATCCAAATGCTCTCTAGCAAACTTTAGACGGGCCTGGACATGTACTGGCTTAAGCAGGGGGACACGTCTGTCACTGCAGGATTTGAGTCCCTGGCGGTGCAGTGTGTTACTGATGGTAGCCTTTGTTACTTTGGTCCCAGCTCTCTGCAGGTCATTCACTAGGTCCCTCCGTGTGGTTCTGGGATTTTTGCTCACAGTTCTTGTGATCATTTTGACCCCACGGGGTGAGATCTTGTGTGGAGCCCCAGATCGAGGGAGATTATCAGTGGTCTTGTGTGTCTTCCATTTTCTAATAATTGCTCCCACGGTTGATTTCTTCACACCAAGCTGCTTACCTATTGCAGATTCAGTCTTCCCAGCCTGGTGCAGGTCTACAATTTTGTTTCTGGTGTCCTTTGACAGCTCTTTGGTCTTGGCCATGGTGGAGTTTGGAGTGTGACTGTTTGAGGTTGTGGACAGGTGTCTTTTATACTGATAACGAGTTCAAACAGATGCCATTAATACAGGTAACGAGTGGAGGACAGAGGAGCCTCTTAAAGAAGAAGTTACAGGTCTGTGAGAGCCAGAAATCTTGTTTGTTTGTAGGTGACCAAATACTTATTTTACCGAGGAATTTACCAATTAATTCTTTAAAAATCCTACAATGTGATTTTCTGGATTTTTTTTTCTCATTTTGTCTCTCATAGTTGAGGTATACCTATGATGAAAATTACAGGCCTCTCTCATCTTTTTAAGTGGGAGAACTTGCACAATTGGTGGCTGACTAAATACTTTTTTGCCCCACTGTATATAAAACAAAACTCCCTGTTGAAGAATTACAATAAACATGTATTTTCATTAGCACATTTGTGTATCTATAGCTGAATGTGTTTTATAATCAATAGAGAACACACCTATAGATTTGATGTTAATATTTAAAAAATTGCAGTGCTTCATTTTGCAGTAAAGCTGAACTGTTTGGTTAAGATCATTTTGTGTTTGGATGTTTTAAATGTTTTGAGAACAAGTACATTGCATTGGGGGAAAGTGTCAAATCAACTGAGAAAAACTGTAAAAGGTTAAATATAAATATTGTGAAGACCTAGACATTTTTGTTTGTCTCAACTTTATATTTACCCCAACACATCACACTGAAAAATATTCTGTTTGATTTTACAGTGCACAGTATCAGTTCTCTCCTCAGTTTTAGTAAGCAGCAGGGTGTCATACTAGCAGACATCTGTGCAAATCAAACTTGGATTTGTATGGGATGGATAGCTGACCTTGACTTTCAAAAAAAGTTGTGTCAGCCAATTTCCCTTAATTGTACCGGGATCTTCCCGAATACATATTGCCATCTTGCACTGCATATTAATCACTCTAGTGATGCAAAAAAGCTTAGAACCAAGTTTCCTCAGCACGAAAAGAAACTCTGACTAGATAAAACTGTCGGTTTTATACTGAGCTTAGCAAATGTTACAGCTATAATAAATATCAGGCTACATAATAAAAAAAATAATAATAGTGCACAGTTATTAGGATGAAAATACCATCAGCCTTCAGTATCATGTAAATAACTTCCATATGATGCCGTCTTTGCTGATATTTACTCTATTGGATGATACTGATGTGAAATGTGACAGAGCAGAGTCAACTTACAATACGGGCACCCGTAGATCTCGAACCTGAGGCCGATCCGTCCCTCTTCACTCCAGTCTAAAGGAATGATGCGCAAATAATGGGCCACAGTCGGGTTTTGCAGGTCATGCCGAACCACACTCTCTGTATTGGAGTTACCCGCAAATGCCTGCAAGACAGATGTGAAATACGTTACTTGACTTGTTTCGACTTAAAACTATGGAAGCCCGTTTACGCCACTGAATAAAAAAATTAAATCAGGTAATAGCGACCATTTTCTTGCAATCGCGAGTTCATATCTGGCATTTCTGACTTTTTTTCTCCGAATTCTGAGATATAAACTTGCAACTGCACGAAAGTCAGAATTGCTAGATATAAACTCGTAATTCTTACAATTGTCTCGCAATTGCGAGTTCACATCTCGCAATTCTGACCTTTTTTCTTTGAACTGTTTTTTATATCTCGAAATTCTTTCGAAAATTCTTTTGAAATTCTCGAGACTTTATAATCTGCAATTGCAAGTTTATATCACACAATTCTGACTTTAAAACTCACAACTGCAAGTTTATATCTCACAACTCCGAAAAAAAGTCAGAATTGAAAGTCAATATCTTTATTTCTCAGAATTGCGACTTCAAATTATTCTCAGAATTGTGACATTAAGTTTAAATCTCCCAATTCTGACTTTTTCTCGCAACTGCAAGCTTATTTCATGCAATTATGAGAAAAATTGCGGGATGTAAACTCGCAATTGCAAAGAAAAAAGTCAGAACTGTGAGATGCAAAGTCACAATTACCTTTTTTATTTTTTATTCAGTGGCAGAAACAGACTTCCATATAAAACTAAAAAATACCCCTTATAAAAAATAAAACTCTTTTGCAAGTACTTCAATATCTACAACCATAAACACACTTTCAATAATTGCTTATTATTACAATAATAACAATTGTTAGTGTTGTGCCTTCCCCACAGTTTCTTCAGTGAAAGTCAAACCGCAGATTTGTGTCATATCTTTTCTAGTGTGGTTTTGAGTGATTTCATGAAACTCTCTACTGTCCTGTGTCAGAAGCTGTAATCACCAGACAAAAAAAGCTGAAGCGACATGTAGTTGGAATCAAGTTGCACGGCTCTGTGGTTCACGTTGACCCTACACAGCTTCTTGTGTCACGCAGAGCAAGAAATTGATGCAGTCGGCCATTGAGTGGTGGGGAACTTCAGTCACCAGACAGACCATGTGGGATTGGCGATAAGCAGCTCAAGGCCACCAAATTGGGAGTGATGCGGATTACAAAACTTGCACTTCCCCTCTAAGGAAACCACTATTATATGGACTTTATTGTACAACCGGAGATTTCATGTCAGGAACATGCTGAACATGTCAATATTGGAGGCTCCATACGGTGGTCTGACTTTAATGTTTGAAGTGCTGATTACTGTGCTCTGTAGTGGCCGACTGGGGAGCGTTCACTTCATTTTTCATTGCGAAGAGAGAAAACTGAGTTGTTTTGTGAGGTTTCAGGCGACAGTGTTTTATAGGTGGACCTCCTGGGCACAATGAGTAGGCTATCCCAACCCGATAATTCGTACATATTTTACGAGGTGGATAATTTTTGCTAAATCATATCTATTTTACGAGTTCCCCAATTCGTATGAATTTGTACAAATTACCTAACCCTAACCCCGGCCCTAAACCTACCCATCACTGGGGTCTAGAAAAATCTTGCATCTAACTAAATCGTAGGAGTGAGGTTGTACAAATTCCTACGAATTAGCCACCTCGTATAATACGTACGAATTGGTTGTGAGATAGCGTTGGCTATTCCACAGAACAGTGGTTTTCATACTCGGCTCCAATAGAGGGCGCCACAGAAAAATTGTGAGAATATAAAGTATTTTACAATAGCCTTTTGGTATTTGAAACTGTTTAAAAATGACAAAATGTATTTTATATCATTTAAATAGAAAAATCAAGCGTAGCGTTAATTCTGGAAGGTCACGTTAGTCAAGCTCGCATCAGCTGACTCTCAGCTGATCCCCATCTACCTATAGGAATACGACACCTATCTAAGCATTCATATATAAGGTCTCTTAGTATTATCAGCAGTTTTTGCATTGCTCAATAGCTAATTACCTTCCTCCATCCCCAGCTCCTCCTCTGTCAGTCAGGATGCAGCCTTCTGATTATTCTTTGAATCAGACTAATTCTAAAATGTGTACATAAAATGATTGAACTTTAACAATATCTGCAATACATTTATGTTGGTTCTGTTCTGTTTACCCTGGGGTAAATAAAGAAATAACATCTTAAATATCCGCTGACCTATTTTTACTTCAATTGTGTTTAGAAAAGCTGAGTAATCCACATAAATCTGCATTACTTCACCCAGAATTCAGGCTAAAAGTTCTGCTTTCATGACCAGAATGACTTAATTCTGTCGCAGTTAATTCCAGATCCAGACCTTAAAAAGTCAGTGAGTGTGCAATTAGTTAGCCAAATGTGAAGTCACCCTCAGAGCTTTGCTGCCTTGCATGTTGTTTAATCAAGCACCTTCACAAAGGCCTGACGGAGATAGAGGCTGTCTTTCATTAGTGGAGAGTCCGGGTTTAGGCAGGAAGCCAGCTGTAACTATCATAAGCAGCACACTCACTGGCTTCCCATAGTATAATTAAAGTTGCTTTTACTTATTTTGTGTCAAAGCTCCTGGGTCTCTTCTTTAACAGCTTTGAACAGCCATCCACTCTTTGCACATTTCTCATTCTGAGAATAGCAGAAAGACACTGTTCTGAACTTTTCTTTAGCAGAAATAAAAGCTGCCGGTCTAGAAAACAAACATGCTGGAATCATTACAACAGCAAATTAAGTGAAGCTTAGAAGATTAAAACAAGCTGACCTTAAAACAATTCATCAGACACACAAGCGCTCTAACCATCATAACAAGAATAAAACATGTTGGTTGTTCAAGATCGATGATTTTCTTTTTCTTCACTTGAAATTGTTACATGTATGCATCAGGCATGGGTGGGAATCTTTATATACCAGTTTTGCATCCTTCTTCCATGACAGTTTAATATATAGCTGTTGAATAATGGCGGATTTGTGGATGGCTGCCAAATATAACATTAAGGTCTTGCAGTTGTTGTCACTGTTATTTTATGAAGCCATTCTTTTGTTATATCAAGAAATCTATTGATTTTGTAATATTTTACTTTAAGAGTACGGGGAACCAGGAAATCTTTTCTGGTAACCTTTCCTACTGAAAATCATCAGAACAATCCATTAAAGCTAAGCACATGACCAAAGCAATCTGAGAAGGTCCTAAATCAAAATTATAGTGAATCACGTAGCTGTCACACATTGTGATCTAGCGCATTAATCTGTTTGAAGTTCATATCACATTTTGAATGGCTAATTATTATGCAAATACAGGTGCAGACGTTGTTGGGGTCTTAAATGATCAAATTAAATTCTGTAAAATTCCACATTGTACACATATATGTGACCCTGGACCACAAAACCAGCCTTAAGTCACTGGGGTATATTTGTAGCAATAGCCAAAAATACATTGTATGGGTCAAAATGATTGATTTTTTGCCAAAAATCATTAGGATATTAAGTAAAGATCATGTTCCATGAAGATATTTTGTAAATTTTCTACTGTAAATATTAAAACTTAATTTTTTATTAGTAATATGTATTGCTAAGAACTTCAATTGGACAATTTTAAAGGCAATTTTCTCAATATTTTGATTTTTTTTCCACTCTCAGATTTCCGATTTTCAAATAGTTGTATCTTGGCCAAATCCTAACAAACCATACATCAATGGAAAGCTTATTTATTCAGCTTTCAGATGATGTATAAATCTCAATTTCGAAAAATGTACCCTTACGACCAGGGTCACATATATATATATTACATATAATACACTGCAATTTTTTGCAGCTATATATTTAAAATAATAATAATTATTTATTATTATTTATTATTATTTACCCCCCCCACAGTATAAATGGGTCTATATGCATGGAAATATACAGATGCTTTCATCTTTTTGCATTTCATACAATGTTTGGTTGCTGTAGATTATTTCATATCACTGAATAATACTTAATAATAATATGCTAAGTTAGTATGATGCTGAAAAACCAACATTTTACTTCAGTGTCAAGGTGATGAGCATCTCAAAGCGAGCATTCGCGATTCACTGTGGAGACACACATTTAGAACTAACTACATAATTGCAGCCTTGCTTAAATGATTTATGGACATTCGAATGCTTTTATGTGGAATTGCAACCACATTTTACAGTGGAATCAGCAGGACACCCGGCGATGTCTCACTGCCAGCAGAGTGAAAGCAAAATGTGATCCAGTATTTAAGGAACCATTATCCTCCAACCGAGTGCATTTGGCACCCTCATACTTTTCTTGCCACTTGGGGTTGTCTTGACAGATGAGGTGAAGACAGCTTTTCTCTCAGAGACCAAGAGCACAGCCAAATCAGTCAAAATGCCAGCCGTATGCATATGTGTGAAGGGCTGACAGGGGCGGCCAACTCAATGACACTCTGAATCGGGTACATTAGCAACGAGAGACTCACTCAGGAGTAGAGTTAAACTGACATGTGGATATACTTAAGTCTCCTCATTTCACTCTGTAAGCAGAGTAAATTCAAACTCAAAAGTGAGCTAATGCTGGACAGCGTAGAAATTGGCACTGAAAGTCCAAGAATGGTACACTTTCTACATTGTGTCATTATTTAAAAAAATTAGAAAAGTTTAAGATCAAAACAAAGAAGTCTATATATATATATATATATATATTAGGGCTGTCAATTGATTAAAACGTTTAATCTGATTAATCACATCCTTTTTCTGTGATTAATCGTGATTAACCGCACACTTCATGAAATTAAGCATAGACCATTTATCTTGTTTCAAATGTTTATTTTGTCATCATTTGCTATATCCAGCAAAGTAAACCAAAAGGTTGAAGGGTGATTCTCAAAAATCTATATTTTCTGCACGCTTCTGCAAGATAAATTTAGATGTCTTTCCAAAAAAGGACACATAGAAACTCCAAAAGGACACCAAAGAACCAAATGATATAAGGAGCCCATATAAGCACATATGAAAGAAAAAAAATAATCTGAATTTTATAGTATGTGTACAGTGCAACAGCAAAGAGCTTTTTTGCATTTTAGAGAAGCCAAGTTGCGATACTGAACAGGACCACATGGAGATGCCTGCTAAACCAATCGCCTGCTGAATATCTACTACAGTACACGGATCCATTCTAACTAAACTATAACTAAACACAGCAACAATATATATATTAGGATCGGTTCTGCGCAGATTTTCCTCATCTCAAACAAGCCTATTGTCTCTGAAGAGCGCGAGCCCTCACACATCACACGCGCTGTGTGAAGTACAGGCTGAACAGATTGTCAACACATCCCACCGCTGTATGGCCAGATGAGACGCAAACTAAATTTTCTCGACTGGATAACCAGTCGCGCTAATAAAGTTTTGATGGAAGAATGAAGACTGCAATCAAGGTAAAGACGATTGTGGTGGCGTACAGGAGTCGTACAGTAAGCACGCGTGAGTCCATTATAATAATGATGCATGCCGATTAGAAAAGTGTCCGAGTTACGTCCGACTTGCTCTGATGTCATGCTGACGTGTGCAAAAACCCCACGCGACGGTGAGGCGGCTGTGTCGGATTGTGCAGTCGGGCGCAGTTGCTCTCCACCGACTGCGCTGATCAAAAGCATGATGGGAAACAACTGACTGACGACACAGCTTAATGCTTAATGCTGATTTCATGTGATTATGTATTTAAATTATGCATGAATGTTCCCAAACACTATGACAGTGCGATCTCTGTGTGAGATAATGTGATTG